CCCCCGCAGGCTTCAACAGCTCCGCCATGCGCGTCGTGCGCGGAGCCCCAGAGACGGCGCCTGGGCCGCTGGTTGGACCTGGCCCCCCCCCCCCCCCGGCCAGCTCCTTGCCGCGCTCTTCGCTCGTGGGGAGACGCGGGCGTTGCAATCGTTCCGCACGGGGCGCTTGCGCTCGTCTTCGGGCCCCGGGGCCATCACAGATCGATCCAGCCTGCAGAATGCCGCAGAACGATGGTGCCCGGGGCTCTGGTCGTGACTCGATGCTGCCGTTCTTCCGCAACGTCGGACCTCAGGGTTGCCAGAAGCTAGATGAACGAGCAACACGCACCCATACCCATAGGTGGGACGGGGGGGGCTATGGGTGCGTGTTGTCGGGTGGGGGTCCCCGCTCGAAAGGAAGCGCCCCCCAGTACCCGACAACCCGCACCCATACCCATAGCCAGTCCTCCTCCCAACGTTCCCCCTGTGGGTATGGGTGTGTGCTGTTCGTTCGCCAAAGCTAGGAGTGGCCCTGCCCCAGGTCGAGGAAGAACAATGTTGGAGCCTCGCCTCGCGCGGATTTCTTGTGGATCGGCGCTGGCCCCCCCGGCGGCGCCGCCCCCGGCGAGCCCCGCCAGGTCTCCCCAGGACTTCCGACGAGGCCCCCTCGGACTCCAGGGCACCCAGAGGGCCCCAGGGGCTCCAAAGTGGCTCGAGAAGCTGGACACCGTGTGGCAGGGCCACTTTTAGCAGCAGCGGGAAGAGTATCCAGGACTCGCCGCCATTGCCTCGAGCTTCTCCCGCTCCCCACTGGCTCTTCTGCCACAGTGCAGGGCGGACGCGGGCGCCCCGTCCCATCGTTCGCGCGGGTGCCGTGCGCGTTTTCCCCAGCACCTATAGCTCACCCTGCGGAAGGCGGTGTGTTCCTCAAAGTCCTTGCAGTCCTTAGCGCTTCGCTCTTGCTCACGCGGGACTCTCAAAGAAAGGTACGTCCGTTCCCTATACGTGTTTGTCCGTCGGCGTGCTTGCCTGCTTGCGCCTGTGTGTCCAGTCTGTTCTGTCCTGCATGCCGCCCCCGCAGTCCTTCTCTCCGCGGCCGCCCTTCCCCTGACCCTCCTGGCTCACAGTGATAATACACCCACGGCGCTCAATAAGAAAGTTGGTTTTTCATTTCAGCCCCTGCGGATTTCTTATGCCGCGGCCATGTTCAGCGCGCCAGGGGCTGCCACTTTCTTACGGGCCAAGCTTCTTAAATCGTAGGCGCACTTCCAAAACCGTCGCGGAGGCTTTTTGATTCGGGGAGTCGCCCGGTTTGCTCCGATCGCAGCGCCACTCCTCGCCCAGAGCGCGTCAGGTGGGAGACCTAGGACGCCGGGCGGCGGCGCCGACCGCTGGCCCGCGCTGGTTTTTGCTCACTTTCGATTGCGATTGGCTGCGCCAGGGCGGGCGCCAGGCGGCGGCGCCGACCGCTGGCCCGCGCTGGTTTTTGCTCACTTTCGATTGCGATTGGCTGCGCCAGGGCGGGCGCCAGGCGGCGGCGCCGACCGCTGGCCCGCGCTGGTTTTTGCTTATTTGCGATTGCGATTGGCTGCGCCAGGGCGCGCCCCGGGGCGCCAGGCGGCGGCGCCGACCGCTGGCCCGCGCTGGTTTTTGCTTATTTGCGATTGCGATTGGCTACGCCAGGGCGCGCCCCAAGGCGCCAGGCGGCTGCGCCGACCGCTGGTCCACGCTGGTTTTCGTTTATTTGCGATTGCGATTGGCTGCGCCAGGGCGCGCCCCAGGGCGCCAGGCGGCGGCGCCGACCGCTGGCCCGCGCTGGTTTTTGCTTATTTGCGATTGCGATTGGCTGCGCCAGGGCGCGCGCCAGGACGCCAGGCGGCGGCGCCGTCTGCTATCCGTTTCGGGCTCGCAGAGCGCGGCAGGCCTGGCACTTTCTCGACGCCACAGGGGGTGCGCTGGGGGTGCGGTCGCTATCCGTTTTGGCTTCGTCAAGCGTGGCAGGCGTGGCACTTCCTCGACGCTTCAGGGGGTTCGCTTGGGGTGCGGTCGCTATCCGTCCCGGGCTCGCAAAGCGTGGCATGCGTGACACTTTCTCGACGCCACAGGGGGTGCACTGGGGGTGCTGTCGCTATCTGTTTTGGCCTCGCCAAGCGTGGCAGGCGTGACACTTCCTCGACGCCACAAGGGGTGCGCTGGGGGTGCGGTCGCTATCCGTTTGGGCATCGCCAAGCGCGGCAGGCGTGGTATTTTCTCGATGCCACAGAGGGTGCGCTGGGGGTGCGGTCGCTATCCGCTTCGGCATCGCAAAGTGTGCCAGGCGTGTCACTTTCTCGACGCTACAGGGGGTGCGCTGAGGGTGCAGTCGCTATCCGTTTCGGGCTTGCAAAGAGTGGCACAGGTTGTGGTTTCTGAGCGCGGCCGCTATCCGGGCTGGTCGTCCAGGGCGTAGCAGGCGTGGCATATTCTCGTAACCTTAGGGGGTCCGCAGGTGGTAGTCTCTGAGCGCGGCCGCTACCCAAGCCAGTCGTCCAGGGCGTAGCAAGCGTGGCACTTTCTCGACACCATAGGGATGCGCAGGGAACGGCCACCAACGTCATCCTCACGTGCTTGATTTCGGCTATCATCAGTCCAGCCATCATAGAAGTATGTGGGGGTCCTCGGTCGCGTAATTTTCGGGCGCCCGAGACCGCCATGGGAGGCTCGAAAATCGCCCCAAAACCATCCGAAGGGGCTTCCATGCAGTCCAAGAAAGCTCCAGGACGGCACAACAGGGTTCCAAAATGGCTTCAGAGAGCCCCATGACGGCCCAAGAAGGCCATAAGACACCCTCCGAAGCATTTCAAATCGAGATCCGGTCATTCAAGGAAACCGCGATTGGAGGCAGGATATCCCGAGGAAGCCCCCAGAGGCCCCCAGAAGACGCCCAGGAAGCCTCTAGAAGGTTTTAAGGAAGTTTGAAAAATCTGTGGGGCCACCAGAGATTCTCCAAGGAAAAACCTCCGCCAAAAAAAGCTGAGGAGAGGGGAGAATTTCGCAAGCTAGGGCGAACATGAGGACAAATAAGCATGGGGGAATAATCAATTACGCGATCTAGGAACCCACATACTTATTGTATGTTTGGAGTGATGATAGCTAAAGTGGAACATGCGAGAATTATGCTGGTGGCCGTTGCCCCGCCGATACTGTTGGTGACGCCGGTCAAGTTTTGGGAGACCGACGCGCCGTGCGAACAACAGCCTGAGCCATGGCGACCACGGATGAGAGCGGGGCTGTTGGTAGGCAGGCGGACGGCGCACGAGTCTCGACGCGGTGGGCAGGCGGACGGCGCACGCCGCGGTGAGGGACCACCCTTTGCGCATCCCCTACGGTGTCCAGAAAGTGCCACGCCTGCTGTGCATGGACAAGTGGGGCGTATAGACACCGCGGTGAGGGACCACTCTTTGCGCATCCCCTATGGTGTCCAGAAAGTGCCACGCCTGCTGTGCATGGACAAATGGGGCGTATAGACACCGCGGTGAGGGACCACCCCCTGCGCATCCCATATGGTGTCGGCAAGGTGCCACGCCTGCTGTGCATGGGCGAGTAGGGCGTATAGAGACCGCGGTGAGAGACCACACCGTGCGCACCCTTTGCGGTTTCGAGGAAGTGCCACGCTTGCCACGCTTTACGAGCCCGAAACGGACACGGAGACCACCCCCAGCGCACCATCTGTGGTGTCGAGGAAGTGCCACGCCTGCCACGCTTTGCGAGCCCGAAACGGATAGGGACCGCACCCCCAGCGTACCCCCTTGATGTCATCGAGCAAGTGACACATATGCCTCGTCTTGCGAGCCCGAAACGGATAGCGACCGCCCCCCCAGCGCACCCCCTCGTGGCATCGAGAAAGTGTCGCCCCTACCACATTGTTCCAGCCCGGGACGGATAGCGACCGCACCCCCTGTGACACCGCTTTGCAACGCCGATAAGTTGCTACGCCTGCCACGCTTTGCGAACCCGAAACGGTTAGCGACCGCACCCCTGAAGGCACCCGCGCCAGCCATGGTTCGCGAGCCCGCCATACCTTGCGAGCCCGAAACGGATAGCGACCGCACCCCCATGACACTCCCTGTAACGCCGATAAGCTCCCACGCCTGCCACAGTTGGCGAGCCCGAAACGGATAGCGACCGCACCCCTTGCGCACCCTGTGGCGTCGAGAAAGTGCCACGACTGCCACGCGTTGCGAGCACGAAACGGATAGCGACCGCCCCCTTATGGCACCCCATGTAACGTCGATAAACTACCACCCCCAGCGCTCCCCCTTGCGGTATCGAGGAAGTGCCACGCTTGCCACGCTTTGTGAGCGCGAATGCATGCACATGTGTATGATGCGTGTGCGATTGTGTGTGGACGCGTGTATCAATGTGTGTGTGTGTGTTTGTGTGTGTGCAGTGTTTGTGGTGCGTGCGTCTTATGTGTGTGTGTGTGCAGGCGTGCGGATGTATGCAGACGGTGTCTCATGTACGTGCCGTGCATGTGCTGCGCGTGTGCATACAGGAGTGGGAGGAGGTAAACGAGGAGGAGGAGGTGGAGGAGGAACCGGAAAAGGAGGAAGGAAGGACGAGGAGGAGAGGTTAGGTGAGCTTCGCGGGTGCGACGCTGGTGGGAAGAAAACCAGAGCCCCATTGAGAACGTGGGGAATAATGCCTTATATAACGGTGATGTCGGAAAGGCATCAACGAGTCATCGCTAAATCGCTTGCTTGACCTTCTTGCCATTCCGCCTGTATGCCAACCTTCAAGGACCAAGGTTCATGGCCCGAAGCGCCAATGCAACCTTGTGTATCTCTCTCTCTATATATATATAACTTATCTTCTTATTAGTTTGTTCTTCGTGGCGCCGCCGCCCGCGCTCGGCCTTTCCCCTCCGCCCCCGTTGCCGTCCACGGCGCCGTGCCCATTCTCCGGCTGCGCGTGCGGCTGCACCTGCCTTCCCCCCCCCCTGGGGTGTCTTGTGCGCGTCGGCCGGGCCGCGGGCCCGGCGATCGGTGTCTGCGCGCCCGCGGGCCCGGCGATCGGTGTCTGCGCGCCCGCGGGCTTCGGGCACCGCGTCCGTGCCCGAGCCTGCGGATGCGCTGCGTCATCCGCTCGCCGTGGTATCCCCAGGCTTGCCTCGAACGCAACGGGCTCGCTCCGAGACCGCCGGCCAACAAGCTTCTGTGTCAGCGCCGGCGTCTGTCAGCTTCCGGCTGCACCTATACGTGCGTGTGCGTGTGTGCGTGTGTGCGTGCGTGCCTGTGTGCGTGCGTGCGTGCGTGCATGCGTGTGTGTGTGTGGTGTGTGTGTGTGTGTGGGTGTCTGTGTGTCTGTGTGTCTGTGTGTCTGTGTGTCTGTGTGTCTGTGTGTCTGTGTGTCTGTTTGTCTGTGTCTGTGTGCCTGTGTGCCTGTCTGTCTGTCTGTGTGTCTGTCTGTGTGTCTTTGTGTCTGTGTGTCTGTCTGTGTGTCTGTGTGTCTGTGTGTCTGTGTGTCTGTGTGTCTGTGTGTCTGCGTGTCTGTCTGTCTGTCTGTCTGTCTGTCTGTCTGTCTGTCTGTCTGTCCGTCCGTCCGTCCGTCCGTCCGTCCGTCCGTCCGTCCGTCCGTCCGTCCGTCTGTCTGTCTGTCTGTGTGTGTGCGTGTGTGTTGTGAGTTGTGTGTGTGGGTGTGGGTGTGTGTACAGTCAAGGCGCCGAAATGAGGGCCACTTTGGGCTCCGGAGGGGCCCCGGTGTTCGGGCCGCTCCTTGGACCCAGGCCAGGGCACCCGTTCGTGGCCGATGCGCGCCGTGGCCCGGAAGCCCCCTCGTTCCTGCCTTGGCGCTCCTGCTGCTCGCACGAGGGATGCGCGTGGCCCGATGCCCCAGCCGCGCGCGCTCGCTCTCGCCGCTCCACGGCGCACTCCGCCTCCGTCGCTGCGCGCGAGGCCCCGGCCGCCGCAGAGTGCTGGAGCGCGCCGGCCCCCTCTTGGCAGGCCCAGAGGTGGACACCAACACCAAGGTCGGCGGCGTACCTCCACCGAGGGAGGACGATCCCGACCTCGGCGCTGGTGGTACGATTCTGTGGCTGCCAGGGCGACCGAACTGTTACCACCAGCACCGAAATCTGGGATCACCTTCCCCTGTGGAGGCGACCCCCTGTGCTGGTGCTGGTGCCCACTTCCAGGCCTCCACACCTCTCGCCCTCCCGCGGCCGCCCCTCGTCACCCTCCCCTGCCCTCTTTGCATGCGGGCAGGTCGCGAGGCCGTCTGCCGGCCTGCGGAGCGTGCGTGCAGGCTGCCTCTGCCGCGCTGCGGCGTCAAAGCGCGCGCGTGTCTGAGGATCCGGTCGTTTGCGGCGAAGACCGTCATCGCGCCTCTGCAGCCTCCTCCTCCTCCTCCTCCTGCTGTTCCTCCTCCTCCTCCTCCTCGTCCTCCTCGTCCTCCTCCTCCTCCTCCTTCTCCTCCTCCTCCTCCTTCCTCCTCCCTCTTCCTCCTCCTCCTCCCCCTCCTCCTCCTCCTCCTCCTCCTCCTCCTCCTCCTCCTCCTCCTCCTCCCCCTCCTCTTCCTCCTCCATGGCCCCTCTTCTTCTCTCGATGCGCCCCCTGGCCCCCCTCCGAGGGGGCCGGCACAGCAGGAAGGAAGCCGAGTGTAGGAGCAGCGTGTTTGCGACGAGCGATCCGAATGGGGCTGGGTCGTGAGCTCGACCGAGTCCGCGCGGCAGGGAGGAGGTCGAGAACACGCCCCGCGTGAGTTCAGCGAGTGGTCTGAACTGGGGAGGGCCGTGATCCCGACCTCGTCTTCGTCTGCGCGGTACTCAGGAGGAGGGGGAGAAGGAGAGGGAGGATCATGAGGACGAGGAGGAGGAGACCCCTTGGGGCCCTCGTGGAGCCTTTTTGGGGCCCCCGTGGAGCGTCCTGAGAGGGCCGTTTGGAAACCTCTTGGGGGCCTCCTGGGGCCTCTTGGGGGCCTCTTGGGTCGTCTTATGGAGCTCTTGGCCCATCTGAAGCCGTCGGATGCCGTCTTAGGGGGCCTCTCTGCGCCGTCTTTGCGCCCTCTTGGAGTGCTGACTTGGGGCCCTCTTGGGGCCCATTTGGGCCGTCTTGGAGCTATCTGGGAAGGCCTCTTGGGCCGTCTTGGGCGGTCGGAAAGCCAAACATGCGACAACTTCAAACTCCGTCAGAAACGTAAGGGAAATCATTGGTTGTTGCTTCCTCGGGTTCTCCTTGGGGGCCTTTTGGGACCCTCTTGGGCCGTCTTGAGACCGTCCTGAGAGCTTCTTGATCTGTCTTGGGCCATCTTGCCATCTTGGACCGTTTGGGTGTCATCTTGGCTTCCGCAGAAAGCCGTTCTGGATGCGATGCTGGCCGCCTGGAGGCCGAAAAGAGCGCCACAGAGCAAATTCAGGGGGGGGGGGGGAGAGCGGCTCCTCCTCCTCCTCCTCCTCCTCATCCTCCTCATCCTCCTCCTCCTCCTCCGCCTCCGCCTCCGCCTCCGCCCCCTCCTCCTCCCCCTCCTCCTCCTCCTCCTCCTCCTCCTCCTCCTCCTCCTCCTCCTCCATTCCTTTTCCCTGGACGACGCGCGGGGGTGAGAGGGGAGGGGGGCGGCCACAGAACACCTCCAAAACCTCCCAGGCACCAGGCCTGCAGTCTCTCTCGCACACAGCCGCCCCGTGCAGGGGCACGTCGGCCCCGCGGTCCCAGAGCAGTGCCTGTGCTCGTCGGCTTCCGTCGGAGGGTGGAGGGGCCCATTCTTCTCCACCACCACTACCACACAGCAGGCAGGACGGAGGAGAAGGGAGGACGGGGAGGTCCTCCTCCTCCTCCTTCTCCTCCTCCTCCTCCCTCCTCCTCCGCCTCCTCCTCCTCACCTCCTCTCCTCCCCTCCTCCTCCTCCTCCTCCTTCCTCCTCTCCTCCTCCTCCTCCTCCTCCTCCTCCCCTCACTCCCTCCTTCTCCTCCTCCCCCTCCCCCTCCCCCTTCCCCTTCCCCTCCTCCTCCTCCTCCTCCTCTTCCTCCTCTCCTCCACCCTCCTCCTCCTCCTCCTCCTCCCCTCCTCCCCCTCCCCCTCCTTCTCCCCCCCCCTTCTCCCCCTCACCTCCCCTCCCCCTCCCACCCCTCCTCTCTCCTCCTCCTCCTCCTCCTCCTCCTCCTCCTCCTCCACCTCCACCTCCTCCTCCTCCTCCTCCTCCTCCTCCTCCTCCACCTCTTACCTCCCCCTCCCCCTCCCCCTCCCTCTCCTCTTCCTCCTCCTCCTCTTCCTCCTCCTCCCTCTCCTACGTATGGTAATGGTGGTGGAGAGTCCATCAAGGCTGGGGGAGGGTGAGAAAGAAGTGGGCCCAACGGGGAAGTCGGTCTCGAACATCGGCTCGTGCCGTCCGCGCGGGAGAGGCGAGTCCGCGCGGGGGCGACGGTGTGCCGTCCGCAGTCTCGGGCCAAGGCGGACAACGGGTTTCGCTTGTCTTGTGGTTGTCCGGCGGTTGTCTTGGGGTTGTAGCGAGGTTATCCCGTGGTTTGTCCCGTGGGTCGTCCTGCGGTTTTCTCGTGGGTTGTCCCGTGGGTTGTCTTGTGGTTGTCCAGCGGTTGTCTTGTCGACGTTCTGTGGTATCCTTTGTGCTGTCCGGTCGTTCCGTGGTTGTCCCGTGGTTTGTTTCTTGGATTGTCCCGTGGCTTTACCGTTGGTTCTCCCGTGGGATGTCACGTGGTTGTCTTTTTGGTTGTCCTGCGTCCCTCTGGTAGTCCCATAGGGTATGCAACGGCATGCAAGTCCAATTGTTTTCGAGCTTTTGGCAGACCTACAGATCGAACTGAAGATCGAAAGGTAAATCCGATTGCGCTCGATATGAACATCGAAAACAGGGCGAGATCTGCGTCGTAAGACAAGTCGGCATGCAGATCGAACTTACAGCCCAAATCCAGTCGTATTGGGAATCGACTTGCAACCGGCATGCGCATCGAAATTAATTCATAATTCAAGTCCGATGTCAGTGCCATTTGCAATATGAATGCGCATCGAAATTCAAACAAAAACATGTACATGACATACACATCTAAGTGCAACTTCAGCTGCAACCGACATGCACAGCGAAATGCAAGGCGGCATGAGATCGAAATGCAATTCGATTTGAATTTTGAAGCGCGCATCCAGTTGCAACCGATACACAAAGCGAACTGCACATCGGCATGCAGGGTCAATTGCATCGACTTTCAACCTCTCAACCTCTCAACCTCCTCGTCGCCCGAAGGGGGGTCTATCAGGTCGGTGTCTGTGCATGCTTCCTCTTTCTATTGCTCTGCGTGCTGTTTCTCTCCATTGCGTCCTCTGCTGGAGAAAATGAGCGGAGAGGTAGATGACGAGAGAAGAAGAGAGAGAGAGGGAGATCAGGAGGCGGTGTAACAACAAGGAGCAGTGGAGGGCGACGGATAGGGTTTGTTCGGGGATGTACTATTGAATTGGTCCGCGCCGCTAGGTTCCTACGACACGCACATGGTGGCCAGCTCTGCTCCGATTCTTACGGGGTGCGTTCGAACAGTCTGCAGAGGCAGCTACCGCAGCTTGTCTTGGCCGTCGACGCTGCGATTCTGTGCACAGGATCGAGTGTCCCTGAACATATAACATTTCCCTTGCCAGCTCGTCTGTGAGGGTCGCATATGTGAGGTCCTCTGGCTCAAGAATCAGTGGCTCGTGGCCCGTGATCTTCTGTATGGTCTCCAGTCTGGTTTGCCGTAAGGTCTCCCGTATGGTCTGCCGCGCGATCTCCCGTACGGTCTCCCGTGCAGTTTCCCGTGTGGTCTTTTGTATGGTCTCTTTTCGGATCTCCCTTGCCGTCTTCCTTACCATATCCCTTATGACCTCCCTTCTGTCTCCCGTCTGGTCTACCTTAGGGGCTTCCTTTTGGTCTCCCATCTGGTTTCCCGCTTTGTCTCACGCATGGTTTCCCGCATGATGTCCCGCATGGGTCACTGGTCTGGTCTTTCGTATGGTCTCCCGCAGGGTTTTCTGCATGGTCTCCCATGTTTCCTTCCGTGTGGTCTCCCGCATCATCCCCCGTATGATCTCCCGTCATTGCTTTCCCGTATGGTTTCTCGCAGGGTCTGCCATATGGTTTCCCGCAGGGTCTCCCGTAGAATACGGTCTCCCGTACGGTCTCTGTGATGGACTCCCGCCCGCACGGTCTCCTGTTTGGTATCCAGAATGGCCTCCCGTACGGTCTCCCCAACAGTCTCGTGTGGTTTTCCCTGTGGTCCTCCGCATCTGCAGCACATTTGAGAGTCTGTTGTTGGTGTCACGCTGTTGCTTGTGATGTTCAGGGTCTGCTGCCGCCAGGGTGCAGCTCTAATGCCAGGCGTGAGCGAAGCTGGATGCCGACCCGGTGGGAGCGAGTCTTTCTCTGGAATCGTTGTCACGTTGTTGCTTGTGATGTTCAGGATCTGCTGGCGCCGGGGTGCAGCTCTAACGCCAGGCGTGAGCGAAGCTGGATGCCGACCTGGGGGGAGCGAGTCTGTGTCCGGAGACGTTGGCTCGTGGCCCGTGGCCTCCCGCACGGCCTCGCTCGCGGTCCTCCTCGTGCCATCTCCGATGCAGTCTCGCGTGCGACCTCCCGTAATTAAGGCCTCTCGCGCGGCCGTCCGCGCGGGCTCCAGCACGGTCTGCCGTGTGGTTTCTCCCGCCTGGTCTGCCCCGTGGCTTTCCGTATGATCTCCCGTACGGTCCCCCGCGTGGTCTCTAGTAGGGGTCTCCCTTCCGCCTTCCGTGTTCTATGGCTCCACGCATGGTATCCCGTCTGGGTTTTCCCGTCTGGTCCCGTTGATGGCTACCTTGCAGTACATGTAGGGGGCCACATGCGAACCCTACCCCTACCCCCCGCAATTTCTGCGGGGGAGGGTGGGGTACACGGGAACTCTCTGTACTCGTCGTCACTGCCTCCGTTGCTTTATGCAGTTCTCTGGTACTCCACGGGGCCGCGTCGGGCCTTCTGCTGCCGAGGGGGGCCTTAAAAAAGGGGTGCACGTCTTCGTCAGCAAGAAGGCGCAGGCGCTCGGGCTTGGAGCCTGCGCCTGGGGGCCACATGCGAACCCTGCCCCCACCCCCCACGATTTCTGGGGGGGAGGGTGGGGTTCACTCCGCTCGGGAGCTCGGAGTGAACCCCACCCTCCCCCCCAGAAATCGTGGGGGGTGGGGGGTAGGGTTCGCATGTGGCCCCCTAATGCGGCCAGTGTGATGGATGGGTCTCAGCTTCTCCATGCGTCATCTCCAGCGCCACTTGCCATTACCACCTCACTGCCCCGTCTGACCTGCTTGCCCATATTAGGACACGCCAGCCTTGCCACCGCGACGGAAGCAGGGACACTGGTACAGATCCACGCTCGCACATCGTATTCATCATGTTTCGTACCCCTCGTGCACGATAGCATCGCGAGCGGATCCGAACACAGTGCGGCTGTATTGTGTGGACGTGAGCGTACGTCGTAATCGTGTGAGTCACCATTTAGACGTTGTCCGTAAGGGGCTTCGCCCATTGCCGCTGGCCCCCCTTTCTTTTAGAATCGAGCATGCCAGAGCTAAGCTGGGATGCAAGGGCGCCGTCGTGAAGCAATGCGGGAACGTCACGCGAGGGCTAATATCGTACGTCACGGCTTGTTCAGCAACATTGAAGCACATCTCTCGAATTCTGACATTTCGCATTGCGAATTTGCTGACAATCATGGCCTCGGGATGCGAACACTGTGTAATTTACCAGGGATCGTAGCCTCGGGGACGTGAACGCAGCGTACTTTACAAACAGATCGTGGTCTCGAGAGGCTAATATGGGTAATTTGCGAGGGATCGTGGCCTCGGTGACGCAACTATCATGTAGCTCATTCTGGTGTATGACTTCGAGGGCCCTTCTATTCGTAATGTACGTGGGATCGTGACCTTGGGGACGCGATTATTGAGAACTTATTGGGGACGCGAATCTTGCTTAGTTTACGGGGGATCGTGGCCTCGGTGACGCACATTTGGTGTACTTTGCAATGGTTCATGGCCTCGAGGACGCGGATATTGTATAATTTGTTATCGCAACGTCTCGGGCGACAGGCGGGGGGGCCAGCAAAGCTGAGGGGATATCTGGGCAGGGCGTACAGCAACGCCGCGAAGCGGCTACATGGAAGGCAACCGTTTTTCAACCATGCGCTGCAAGCGGGCCCAGGCGGGCCAAGTACATATCTGATATCGGGAGGCCGATTGAGATGCGTTAGCCTCAACCCTATCATAACAGATGCCAAAAACCCGAGTTGCAACAGGCGTCGGATTGATCTCATTCCAGTTCCCGCATATCTATCGCCTGGCGCAGCCGTCCAGGAATGCTGTAGTCCAGGGTGGGTGGGTCGGGACAACGTTGACAACGTGACGGGAGCAGCTGCCACCAGGGGCCCGAACTGTCTGAACAGAGGAGCCCCGGAGGTACGAGACACAGGTGCATGCAACGTCGCGCAGCGGGCGCCTCGAGCAACCGCGGGGAAACGACATCAAACTTCAACATCTGCAAGGCGAGCGCCGTTGTGAGGTCAGGGATTCGTATTGCTGAGCTCATCCCTCGCACGGGTCGACCCACGCGTCAGCCAAACGATGTCATCCCACCGTCTGTCACAAAAGCTACCAGCCCCAGCGAACGAAACAGAAGCCATTTTGTCCACCAGCCTGTCTTCTCGCCAAAGTTCTCGTCTGAGAGCAGGCCGTCACTTGCCTCGTCCTGCTGCTCAGTGTTATTGTTCTTGTCTTTGCTGCGCTTCGGCTGCTTGGCTGGTCCCAGCATCAGGAGCTCCGCTGCGACATCCTTCGCTTTCTTCATCTTCAGGTTCTTGTTAATGGAGCCCACCAGCTGTCCATGCTCTTTGCTGTAGTTGGTGCGGGACGCCATGGCTCGGATGATCTCAGAGGCCGAGTCCGAGCTCGCGCGGGCGCCTGCCTCCAGCACCTTCTGCGGCATCCTCGCCCGAAACTGCGTGAGGGCGAGGGTCGTAGAGTACCTCTGAAGGCTGGATAGGGCCTTCTGACGGCCCCGCCTCCGCACCTGCTCCAGGCTGGCGCGGCCTCGCGCCGCATCCTCGCTCGGGCCCGAGCGGCAAAAAGCCATGCGGCGGCGGCGCCCACGGCGCGCCCAGGGTGCGGCGGGCGCGGTGCCACTCCTTCCGGAAACCCGCCCGCCGAGCTCCGCAGACGGGCCCCTCGGAGTTCGGTTTCACGTCCTTGAGGGCCGGGAGGAGGTTCGCCACGGTCCCGCGGCGGACGGTGACCCCCTGGTTGCCGCCCGTCTTGCCCTCCTCGCCTCGTGCTGACACGCCGAAGAGGAGGCCCACGCAGCGCCCGTCCCAGATGATGTCGGACCCGCGCAGCATCTCCATGTCCTGCTCCCGCCCCCGTAGACGCCATGCTGCACCAGCGTCCAGATCGCCTCCTCCAAGAGGCCTGCCTCGAAGAAGCAAGTGGCGATGGCGAAGACGGCCGCCTCGGGCGGCGGCCCCCCCCCCTCAACCGACACAGCCAACCTCTGCCAGCTCCTCAGACTCCTCCAGGCCAGGGGAAGCTGGTTCCCCCACTCGGGCCAGGTCACCAGCAGCCCGAAGAGCACAGCCGATCCCCCTGTCGGGCGAAGCCGATCTCGGCAGCACTTCACATCCATGTCGTCGGCCAGGGCGTGGTCCACGGCGTTCGCGGATCGCGGCCCCCACCCCTTTGCCGACGCAGTGGGAGAGGAAGCCCCGCACCTCCGGAGCCCACGGCTTCGCGCCGGCGTCTGCCCCGGAGTGCGCGAGGAGCCGCGTGGAGGCCCCCCTCGCTGATTCCCTGGTGCGGCTCGCGCTCGTACAGTCGGGTCGCTGCAGAAGGGGCCCTTTTCGTTGGGGAGGGGCTCCGTATTCCTTACATGTTTCACAGCTTGCCTCAGGTGTTCCTTATGTCTTCGACGGGGAATCGAAGTTGAACCCATGGAGAAATATGGGGCCTCGTTCCTCATTTAGGGTTCCTTGGGTCAACGCCCCAACTGTAGTTGTCCCAAGCCAGCGGCCCCCTCTCCTGCAGGGGGGGCCTCGCCCGCCCTCGGCGGTCTCTGCCGGGCCGCCTCGGCGGGGCCCGCGGCCGCGAGCGCCACGGCGGCTGGCCACCAGCGCAGCCCGTGCACGAGCGGCCCAGGCCGCGGAGGTCGCCCGCGGGCCCGTCTGCCAGTGGAGGGCGTCGGTCGCTGTGCGCTGCCGCCGTCTCGGGCGGCCGCCCCGAGGAAGCCCCCCGATGGAGAGGCCGTCGGCCACGTTCAGCTCCGAGGGGGCGCAGCGGTGGCATCCGTAGGTCCCGAAGGCCATGGCGATCGCCGCCGCTTGGCGGCACAGGCGCAGCAAGGCTGGGGAATTCGAGCGCCCCTTGGCCAGGGCCCCCAGCGCCACCATGCTGTCGGTGAGGATCAAGACCTTCCGCCTTCACATTTTGGCTCAAGCCATTTTGGCTCAAGAAGG